CCCCTTCCTTCTCTTCCCCCCCCCCCCTCCCTCAAGGCCTGAGATTGATAGCAGCGTGTGGCAGCACGCCTTAGTGTAAAAATAACACAATACGCAATAGTCATTTCCTGAGTTCAACAGATTAATGAATTAATCAATGAAGGACTTAGTAAACTAAAAAATACAGTGAGACTTATAAATCTGTGTAAGAAGAAGACGACTGTCAAACTCAACTTCTGATTTTAATTTGTCCAATAATCATGAAACCCAACATTTGTGCATTGTAGACATTATTAAGGTGATTTTCAAACAAAATCAAATATACATAAGCTTGCTCAAATTTTGTCTCAATCTCCGCCGAATTTTTTTGGGTTCCACCGTAGATAAATGTATTCACGTAACGACAATTAAACTGAAAATGTACAATTTTCCCCAATGACATGATTTTTTAGCTGTAAAGTGCTTCATATTTTGTCTCTATTCTAAATGTTCATCAAAGCATTGACAATTTTTCAAGACACCCTTGAGCATGGGTAATAGCCCAAATAAAAAAAATGCTAAGTTTTAATTTAAATATTAGAAGAAAAACATTTTTTATGAATTTTCAAATCATACGATTCCAGGGACGATTATTAGCCAGTCTAAATTTGAATTTTTTTTTTAAATGTCGCCAATCTCCTGATCCAAACAGGAAATTTCGCAATAATTTGTCGTTATTTTTATCACTTTAAAAAGTATTATACAAAGACGAAAGGTTTGCAGATAGAGTTTAGCAACACAAAGCTTGAATTTGAAATAAAGCGGATTGGCGCAAAGTGCTCTGTGCATGTGTAATCCTTCAATCCTTCAAGACAAGTATAGGAGAAAAGAATGATTTAAGATTTATTTTTGAATTTAGTTCAAACCACAATAAAGTTGATTGTAAAATAGATGTTAACTCAACATAAAACCAATACATTACCACAATTAAATATAACTGTAAGTTATGTAAATAAGATACAGGAATCGGTGCTAAAATATGTGGTATACATAAACAAATAATAATATATGGATATAAATGATACAATTGTAGATAAAACGAATGATGATGAATTGATAAAAGTTTGAAAGCAAACAGTGAATTCCAACGAACCCATGAACAATTGAATAAAAAATGTTGGAATCATTGTTATAATTTGTCCAGATGACAGTTCAAATCTTCAAATATTAAAGGGGTCATTCACATTGCAACGTTATTTAGACCCGAGATTACATTCAGAGAACCCCACCAGCAAGGCGTGTAATGATATTTATTGTTTTAATTCCATGCTTTGATTTAGAAAAGTAATTCTGGTGTTTTATAAGTAGATAAATATGATGGTCTGTCGAATTCATTTTTTCAAAGGTAATGAAAGCAGAGAAGAAAATAAATGTTAAAGGGACTGTACGCGTAATTGCAAGAAACCCTTGATGCAAAGAGGGGATTTAGAAAGCCCTTTAAACCTTTGACTGATCATCGGGGGAAGAGAACTTCATGTGTTTATCTCTGATATGGTGTTCAAAGGAATTGGGTCTTTGCCACAAACTCAAATTTTCTCTTCCCTATATCTTTCCAATCTGATGGTGTAAATTCTTTAAGAAAATCTGAGTTTGAGGCAAAGACTCAACTCCTTACCATACAATTTGAGTGTACGCTAGCGTGCAGTGTAAACTCAACTCAAATGAGTTTACTTGTATTCCGTTCAAATCTAGAATATTCCTTTACCAATGCGGATTTCAAAATTATGATTATAAATATTCATTTTCTGCGGCTCCTAAAGAGTAAATATTAATATTTTCCAAACTAAGTGTTCAATAATTACAATTGTTTGTGTAGGATAAATAAACTATAGAATAGGGGTTAAAGAGTACTAAATCTGACACACTACTCTACACTTGACACAGATAATAATTAGTGTACCAAAAATAGGAAAAGAATCAATAACTAAAATGAAAAGAAATTGCGATTTAGAAAGCTTTCAGGGCGCTTCGCGCCCATCTTCTCTTTCAATTGTGAGCATTTTCTCTTTGTGTATCTACATTGTAAAACATAAACAAATAAACAAGTTAGCGGATTTAATAAAAAACTCGTGGATTTTCAAAATTTATTGAGAATCAAATTTTGTTGGAGGCTAATTTTTGAAATTTTGATCATTCATAAACCTTCCCTGGGGTCAACCAAGGTCCCAAAAAAATTTGGGCTCGATCGGTTCAGCCGTTTTAACATTTATTGGATTCAAACAAACAAACACCCAGACAGGCAAGCAGAGTATATGATGCTAGGTACTTTTCCAAATGATTTTTCCCAAGTGGCAACTTCCCAAATGAGCAATTTTCCTAACGGCAACTTCTTAAGCCTGTGTTAACCGCGGTGCTTTGCCCCCTATCCCATCCTAATGCAGCGCTCGGCCCCTATTTCAGCCTGCAGCGCCTCGGAGGGCCTAACTTAACCTTTGAGAAGTTGCCGCTTGGGAAATTGCACATTTGGGAAGTTGCCACTTGGGAAGTTTTTTAATTTGGAAGTCGCCCTTGGGAAAATATATATATATATATATAGATGGAAAAGAGTGCAGTGTAAATTTTAATCATTTAAAAATCAAAATTCTTTTCAAAAACTTTATTGAATAAATGTGATAACAATTTCTTTTTATGATCATAATATATAATATATACATAATATCATAAAATAATGAAAATATTGAAGAAGAAAAAAAACATGTTGAACATTTGAAGATTTCAAAGCTTTTGTTTATAGTTTACATATTAAAGGAATATATAGAAAAATTCTAATAAAGGAACTGAACACTTGCCTCAAACTATAACTTTCTAATTCTTTTAATTTTAAAACCTGATTTATTGATTATCAAAGGTTTGGGATATCTGGATGTCAAGATAAAATAACTGGAAAGTTTAAGTTTGAGACAAGTGTTCACTGTTCAGTTCCTATTTGAATAAGAATGGGAACATGTTTTATTACACTGTGTACACATGCGGGATTTGAGGATTTAGGCTGTTTCATTTTTCGTCCCTTTTTATTGAACAATTTTACCTTTAAACTGTTGCTCTGAAAGTTGCCATTTTTAATTGTTTTCAAATTTCTGCGAATTTTTCTGTTTAATTTTGTGAATTGAGTTGCTGCAAAACATTTGGACCTTGATCAGTTCAGCCATTTTGACGTAAATTGGAAACAAACAGACTGGCAAGTAAAACTTATATATAGATAATTATACAAAACCAAATAGTTTTGATTTTCAGCATTTATTTTACAGTTTCTTATTTGTTTATGACTGATGTTCTTGAAGAGAAATTTCCTTTCTTATGAGCTGAGCCAGCCTTTCCATTGCTGTATCAAAATCCTTCTCCGCTGCTATGCTGAATGCTGCCCTAAGAAACTGACAGGGAGCAGTCTGGTCAGGTTGAAATGCTCTACCTGGCATTAGCATTATATTTTGTTGCAGTCCACGCTGCATAATCATATCCCAGGTAGAACCTAAACCTGGAACCTTGATCCACAGAAACATTCCTCCCAGTGGAACACTAAACTCACATAATCCCATAAGATGCTTATCAGCTGCTTCATAAAGCTTATTCCTCCTGTTCTTGTAAAAATCTTCAACTTCTTTAATATGATTGTTGAATCCAGTAGATCCCCACTGTGACATTAGATCGCTCACCAAAACCTGAGATAATGATGATGCATGTAAAACTGATGCCTGCATATGAAGATTTATCCGCTCTATGATAGGTTTAGGACCTGTTACAAAGCCAAGCCTTATTCCTGAACTCAGAATTTTAGAAAATGAATCAAACCTGACCACTCTCCCCTCGGTATCTATTGACATGAAACTTGGTGATCTCAAATCTTGATCTTGGTATTGGAGATAAAAGTAAGGATCATCTTCAAGAATCAAAAGATTATACTGTGAGCAGATCTTGTAAATTTCTTGACATCTCTCAGAAGACAGTACTGTACCAGTAGGGTTTGCTCCAGTTGGATTGATGTACAAGAACTTGGGAGCATTGGTATCTTCAGACCCTGGCGACCATTGAGACAATATTTTTTTCAAACTGTCAGGTCTCATTCCTTGGGTATCTGCTGTAACAACATGATAGTTTGGTTTATATGGTTCTATAATGGAGAGAGTGCCTGCATAAACAAACTCTTCCATGATGACCGAGGAACCAGGTTCAAGCAAAGCTTCCAGACATTTACACAATCCATCCTGGGATCCAGAGGTTACAATAATATCATTTTTCAGCCACACATCAGGACTCAAGGAATGCTTCTCTTCCTGAAGGGTTTTAAGTTGGCTCACAAGTGAGGGAAGACCTCCTGTTGGTAAATACTGTAGAGCTTGTTCCATTTTAGTTCCAGACAAGCTTATTGAAGTTGTATCATCCTTCAACTGAACAGTCATTTTCTTAAAAGGGAACAGTTTAGGATTTGGCATTCCACCAGCCATTGATATCATTTCTGGAGGTGCTGTGGACATGATCGTGATCATTTCTCTGATAAGAGAAGGTTGCCTTCCCTTGGAAAGAGAGTTTAGAAATCTTGCATAGGAATTCACATTATCGGACATCTTGATTTGTGTAATGCAAAATTTCTGTTTATTCAAAGTATAGTATTTATTTTATACTGTGTTCTCTGCACAAGTGAACACATAAACTTGACTGGAAACTGGGCTGACAGTACAGGGCAGTAGGGATGGAGTGTCTTCACTTTTCTGAAAAACGAACCCTTAGATCATAAAAACCTTTAACCGAAAACATTTAGGTTATTTCCCCCGATATTCAAACCCATGTTAGATGACATTATATATATAAGCCCATGTAAGATTTTATTGACATTTGATTTCAAATTTTTCTTACTTAAAAAAAAATTTGAAATTAAATGCTAAAAAACTCAACTTTTCAATAAATTCTTCTTCAATAACAATCATATCTTCTTTTATTTTTGTTACTGAATAGTTTAAGACTAATGTTTTGTTTATTGTGTCACATAGTTTTTCTAAAAGCAAAACCAATGTTTTCAGAAAAAAATTGAAACAAAACAAAAAGCTATTGTTTTGCGATTGTTTTTAAAAATGATTAACAACCCTAGGAGTAGGAAGAGGGACATATGTTAATCTCAGAATACTCAACATCCCATATTCTCTTTATCACAAACAGGTCTGTTGCTAGGAAGAAGGGTAAGGGGTGGATACACAGGGTTGAAAATAGAAATTCTTCCCTTCTCCATGTGTTTAGAAAAGTTTAACTTTATTTTTGAAATCTGATATTGGTGCCTGGTGGTAGCGAGATATTTAGATTCTGTTTAGGAGAAAAATCTAGATATTTCAATTTTGTACTGTTGCCTACATACTGATTTATTTATTTTGTCAGTTTTACTTTCACTAACCTCCTGGCCATCTTTAAACAATAATATCAATTTACATTTTCAGGGGTATTTATTTTATGATTTTAATTAAATGGTTTTAAAAGGTTTGGTAATTTTGACTGTGATTTTTGTGGTAGGAGAAGAGATTCAAGTTAAGAAAGATCTAGTGTTCTGTCCTCTAATTTACTTTGACAAAATTATACTTTAAAAGGGAGATTCTCAGATTAGAGATTGAGAGATTAACTTATGTTTTCAAATTCAATATTATGTTTACTTAAATTTTAATCAAGATTAAAAAATTATGCTAAATTATGCTTGAAAAGACATTTTCTTTTAAAACCAAAAAGTGCAAGAATTTTAATCGCTTCTGACTTTAAAATATAAAAATTGAAAAAGTAAGGGGAAAAATCTACAAAATTTCCCTCAACCACCCTTTTTCCTTGCCTAACCTCTATCTCCTAAACCCTAGCCCTCCTCCACCTGCTCCTTCCTCAACTCTCTCCCTCCTTCCCTCTGTCCCTCCCCCAGTCTTTCCCTCCTCTACCATCTCCCTCCTCTACTATCTCCCTTCTCCATTCTATCCAAAGACAATAGAATATATATTAGAGTGGAATTTACTAGAAAAAAGTGTAAAACAGCCATTTTGTTGTACTGATTTCATACTGCAGGTGTACTTCACATGGTTGTGCTATATAACCTTTTGGGCCCTGGAACATCATTTTAAGGAAAATCTAAAATTAATATTAAAAGAAAACCAAATTATGAAATAGGCTGGTTTCATAATTGACCAATGATCATTTCACATAGACTCTATGTCTTTCACTTTACAAACGATGATTTTCCGTTATAACTATAATTCAAATAATGTTTTTTATTCACCAAATTCATTATAAAGTTTATTTAACAGTTTAAAAAATTCTAAATTGAAATGAATAGTCTAGGGAACATACTGTATTAATGTACTCTACTGCACATTTACATGATTTGTACACTTTGAACTCCCTTTCAAGCTGAAAGGGACTAAAAAAATTCATACCGAGGGATTGTCTAAGTTCCACTCGAATATATATTCTATTCTCTTTGATTCTGTCTCTCCTCCACTCTCCACCTTATCTCTTCTTCACTCTCCACCTTTTCACTCCTCTACTATCTCCCTCCTCCATTCTATCTCTTCTCCACTATCTTCCTTCTCCACTCTATTCATCTTCCACACTCTCCATTCTCCCTCTTCTACCCTCTCCCTTCTCCACTCTATCCCACCTCTTCTTCTTTCTCCCTTCTCCACTCTCTTCCTCTTCCACACTCTCCATTCTCCATTTCTACCTGCTCCCTTTTCCACTCTATTCATCTTCCACACTCTCCATTCTCCCTCTTCTACCCTCTCCCTTCTCCAATCTATCCCACCTCTACTCTTTCCCTCTTCCTTTCTCCCTCTTCTACCCTTTCCCTTCTTCACTCTCTTCCTCTTCCGCACTCTCCATTCTCCCTATTCTACCCTTTCTCTTCTCCACTCTATCCCAACTCTACTCTTTCCCTCCTCTACCTTTAACCTATTCCGTCCTGTATCCTCCATCACTTTACTGTTACCAAAATGGAAAACGATCATTTATAAAATAATCCAAAATTATGCCAATCCCTGTAGCATACCTGATATTAAATGTTGCCCTTCAATCCTTTGATCATCAAGGCAAGATAACTCTATTTGTATAATCTCTAGAATTGTGTTCAAATTGAAGTATGATGGAGAGAATGCTGAAGTGCAGTTCAGTTTGATCTCCACTAAGTGCTGTCACAAGCATTCCTATGAAATCCTAATTGATCTATATCCATTAATCTAACACTGTTTTTCAAAATTTGAATGTAAAAAAAAATATATTTTTTGCAAATTCTAGATTCTAGAAAGAAACTTTTAACATTTTTTTAAATATAAAATAGCTTGCAAACTAAGTTTTCAACAATTAAAGGGTTTCTGTAGATAAATAATAATATGTTTACCATCTTGATCAGTCAAAAGATTAATGAAAATGAAAAATGCAGCCATAACTATCAAGAAAATGTCATATTTTAAATATCATAAAAAAGCAGTGTGAATTATAATCGTTTAAAAATTTTCTTTTCATAAACTTAATTGAAAAAATATAGGAAAATGCTACAGTGATATCCAGAAAACTAAAGTTATAAAAACTTTAAAAAGTCCAATGGACATGAAACACACCAATTTTGCAGTGTTAACATTTAAGTATTGCTATAATCATGTCATCCTTTTCTATTGTTTTCTGGAAATCAAAATAAGTTTTTTTTTACGGCGAATGAACATAAAAACTAAAAGTAGTGAAATATTGCAAAAATTATAGAAATAATTATTTGTAAATAATAATCTGAAATCATTCCAAAAACAAGGTGTTTGACATTCATATGTTACATTTTATGTTTACTTTAACTTTTCATTGACGATGGTAATTGGTAGTTTTATTATTTATAATTTAATAAATAGTTTTATTATTTATAATTTAATAAACAGTTGCACACACAACAACTATCACAGCCTTTTTTTCAGATATGTTTTTATCCAAGTTCTGAAGATTTAAAAGTTACATCAGGTTTTTTCTTTAAGATTTAAAGTAAAGGAATCTTTGAAAAAATTCTGATAAAAGAACTGAACACTTGCCTCAAACTTTAATTTTTCTAATTCATATCTTTGAAATTTAATGGTGTTTAATGTTTAACTATACAGTCACATTTCATGGGTTGAAATATCAAAGGTCTAAGAAATCTGGTTGCAAAGATATAAGTATTGGAAAATTAGAGGTTGAAACAAGTATTCAGTTCCTTTTTTGCATTAGAATGTGGTCATTTGTCATTTTTTGGTTTTTGGTAATATAGTTAAAGTTAATAAAATACTTTTGATTTTAAGCCTTTATTTTACAGTTTCTTATTTGTTTATGACTGATGTTCTTGAAGAGAAATTTCGTTTCTTATAAGTCTAGCCAGCCTCTCCATTGCTGTATCAAAATCCTTCTCCGCTGCTATGCTGAATGCTGCCCTAAGAAACTGACAGGGAGCAGTCTGGTCAGGTTGAAATGCTCTACCTGGCATTAGCATTATATTTTGTTGCAGTCCACGCTGCATAATCATATCCCAGGTAGAACCTAAACCTGGAACCTTGATCCACAGAAACATTCCTCCCAGTGGAACACTAAACTCACATAATCCCATAAGATGCTTATCAGCTGCTTCATGAAGCTTATTCCTCCTGTTCTTGTAAAAATCTTCAACTTCTTTAATATGATTGTTGAATCCAGTAGATCCCCACTGTGACATTAGATCGCTCACCAAAACCTGAGATAATGATGATGCATGTAAAACTGATGCCTGCATATGAAGATTTATCCGCTCTATGATAGGTTTAGGACCTGTTACAAAGCCAAGCCTTATTCCTGAACTCAGAATTTTAGAAAATGAATCAAACCTGACCACTCTCCCCTCGGTATCTATTGACATGAAACTTGGTGATCTCAAATCTTGATCTTGGTATTGGAGATAAAAGTAAGGATCATCTTCAAGAATCAAAAGATTATACTGTGAGCAGATCTTGTAAATTTCTTGACATCTCTCAGAAGACAGTACTGTACCAGTAGGGTTTGCTCCAGTTGGATTGATGTACAAGAACTTGGGAGCATTGGTATCTTCAGACCCTGGCGACCATTGAGACAATATTTTTTTCAAACTGTCAGGTCTCATTCCTTGGGTATCTGCTGTAACAACATGATAGTTTGGTTTATATGGTTCTATAATGGAGAGAGTGCCTGCATAAACAAACTCTTCCATGATGACCGAGGAACCAGGTTCAAGCAAAGCTTCCAGACATTTACACAATCCATCCTGGGATCCAGAGGTTACAATAATATCATTTTTCAGCCACACATCAGGACTCAAGGAATGCTTCTCTTCCTGAAGGGTTTTAAGTTGGCTCACAAGTGAGGGAAGACCTCCTGTTGGTAAATACTGTAGAGCTTGTTCCATTTTAGTTCCAGACAAGCTTATTGAAGTTGTATCATCCTTCAACTGAACAGTCATTTTCTTAAAAGGGAATAGTTTAGGATTTGGCATTCCACCAGCCATTGATATCATTTCTGGATGTGCTGTGGACATGATCTTGGTCATTTCTCTGATAAGAGAAGGTTGCCTTCCCTTGGAAAGAGAGTTCAGAAATCTTGAATAGGAGTTTACTGTCTTGGACATTGTGCAATAGCCAAATTTCCGTTTTATGTAAGTTTAGTTTTTAC